ACAAAGATTCTATCAATATTCAACCACTATACTACGGATGAGAGATCATTAATTTCATATTCTAAATCACAATAGTGAATGATATACCTCACCAATGAGAGAAATTAAATATAACTTATTATCAATTGATGGAATATAAAGATAATGATCATTGTCAACTTGATTTTCTCTTGAATTTTAAAAATTAATTTTAAAAAAGATTAATGTGGGTTTTAAATCTCCTAAGATTGTAAGCCCTTGTAGTTAATTACATCGTAAGAAACCGGAGTCTCCTATGAAGACTCTTGATTAAAATCATAGAATAAATTTTTTTTTAAAGATTTTTTAGGAATGATAGCAGAGAAAGTGAAACCGAAATTTCAAATGGGATTTGAACAAGATTGAGCACTTATTTTTTGGGTCAAAGGAAGAAGAGAATGAGGCTCCGACCTATGCTAAATATTGGGCTTTAAATTTTTTATTGAAAAATAATTTAGTTTGAATTGAACATTTTATTAGAAATTTGATATTATATTTCCGGCAGATTGGATGTTATGATTCAAAATATGCCCTACATCCTAAATCTATATTAGGCACCAGACAACGGTGGCCCGAACTTAACTAATGCATTTTAAAATTAAAATCTGAATCTACCCCAACCTAGATTGGGGAGCCAACTAATCACCTAGGCGATTTTAATTCCATAAATTTGGTTATTTTATGAAATAGTGGTAATGATGTTTTTATTAAATTTTTTGAGAGATGGGACCAACATCTAGGTCTTGTCCTAATTGGTCTCTTGACTTATATAGGGTGAAAATGCTTAAGACAAATGCAATTAGAATTTTAGAGTCACTTTTAAATTAATTTCTAATGCAATGCATGCTGATTGGCTCGATTGAATGCATGAAATGAGTATGTAGCAATTTTTAAAAATGACTTAAAAAATATTTTTCCAAGATATTGCACAATTTTTTAAAAGATTCATGTCATAATTATTCGACAAGTTTTACGCTTGTTGTCAACTACCTAACGCAACCCACCACTTTTCGTATACAGGACTTGGGACCTACAATGACATAAAACCTAACAATAGAGTTAAATATTGACAGAAGTTTAGCAATTGGGGTGATGATTACTTGTGGTGGTCGCCGGCAATAATTTTTTAAAAATGCAAGAGATCATCTTTTTTTACTTCTCTTAGGTTTGGAACATGTCCCACTATATATAAAGAATGAGGATTTATTTATAATTAACTTTTTGAGAAAGACATTCCTCTAAATTTGGTAAGAATACAAAGCACTCCATCGTACAGTCCAAACTGATCTTATCGATTATAGATTATTCATTAAATCTTTGAATGTCTTAACGATGCCAGAATCAAGTGATCTTATGCTCATTAAATTTGTCTCGTCTAGTGGCTTGATTGGCGATAAGTATGTTATAATTAGAAGTCATTTGTTCTATCAATTTATATTCAACAATTTTCAAATATAACTCAAGTGTTTGATTTGAGCTCATTTAGAGTTGGATTGGATTATGTGGCGTCAATAAGTTCGTCCCGTTGAAACATTCAGTTCGATCATAAATTTGTTAAAATTGAAATTTCTACGTTCCTAAATGTAATTATAAAAGTTTTCAATTCAAATATCATCTCAAAATTTGTGTTGATGATGTAGATTTTCTGAAGTCATATATTGGTTTCATATATAGAACATGTCCTTAATTAGTTTCAGGAGTTCTATGTTTGCAGGTTTTTCTTGGGATTTCTTTTGTTACAAGAATTCACTAATTTTTCATACCTGTGGCACAGATCATCAATCGATTTCTTGTTGTTAATTGAAATGAAAAATATTAGATATATTTAATACTTCCTAACCATTTTGGGCTCTTTATGTGGCTAAAGCTTGGACTGTTACATTGTAGTTTCTGGCATTGAACTTATCCAATTAATTAACCTTTCTTCGACACTGAAAAGAAGGTCATGCTATTGCTGGCATCGAACTTGACCAACTAAGGTTTCGTTTGGGACAGCTTTCTCACTATTTCTTAAAGTAGATATCTAGTACAAAATTTTAAAATTTTATATGAAAATACTGCTTAAAAGACACAGTAAGAAAATTGTCCCAAATGAAGCATAATTCTTCCTCAGGATTAATGAAAAGGAGGCCATGCTATGATTGGATAAGCGATGAAGAAAACTAAAGGACTCTGAAGGGCATTGTAATTAAGAGTAACTGTAAATCCTTAAATGATATTCTTCCAATTAGTATCTAGCTAGAATTGTTATTGGCTTCCCTCTAATGCTTTTTTAGTTATTTTCAATTCATAACTAAGCTTTTAACGATTACATGCATATCTACTAATATAAGAGAGATTAATTTTGTCCCGAGTTAAATAAGAAAAGTTTATATTCCTTCAATTTTGGCATGAACTCCTTCTGTCATTCCACCATGATGAGAGGTATGGCACAGGAGAAACCAAAGACATATTGGTGGCAAGTCCTGTCAGGAACTACAATGGAGCTAACGAGTTAGGATTTTGATTGGAGCACATAATCTAGAATAATCGGTTATAGAAGATGCTAAAAACTTATTCTAAAATAATTTTTTCGAAAAGTCTAGAATAATATTTAATGTCATTTATGATAGAGATATAAGAGTATTTTAGAGAGTCATTTGTAACCATTAAATTGAATTATGTTGGCACAATCCTAATGAGATACTATTTGTATAAATAATGGTGATATATTTGAATTTGTATCAAGTAAACATGAAATAAAAGTTGTAGCCTCTTTCTTCCTCTTACATCTTCTTATTAGCCTTACTAGCCTCTTATATTCTCTTTTATCTCTTTAGTCTTCTCTCATTCTAAAAGTCTTCTTATTCCAACAAAGTGTGTCTGAAAGATGTGTTTTGTTATGTGATTTCTTGTGTTGAAAATATTAATGTAATCGTTGAAGATTGAGAAAAAGAAATCATTAAGCATTTCTAATAGTAATTTTATTTTCTTTTGGAACCAATTTTGAGGCATGAATTGGAGTACTTAAAACACTTTGTATGTTATGTTAAATGAAAACACATGAAAGAAAAATAGATCATCTTAGTCTGTTGGTTGAAAGCTTAGACTATCAACTAAGAGATCATGGGTTCAAGACTTGTGTATGCAATGTATGTGTGAGTCTGCCTTGATTAGCCTAAATGTCCAAAAGAAATAAAGTTGTATATTGAAGATGTGTTTTGTGAAGTAATTTCTTCTATTGAAAATATTGTAATCGCTGAAGATTGAGAAAAATAAGTTGTTAAGCATTTCTAGTAGTAATTTTATTTTCTTTTGGAACTAATTTTGTGGCATATGTTAAATGAAAACACATGAAAGAAAAATAGATCATCTTAGTCTGTTGGTTGAAAGCTTAGACTATCAACTAAGAGATCATGGGTTCAAGACTTGTGTATGCAATGTATGTGTGAGTCTGCCTTGATTAGCCTAAATGTCCAAAAAAAAAAAGTTGTATATGGAAGATGTGTTTTGTAAAGTGATTTCTTGTGTTGAAAATATTATATTCGTTGAAGATTGAGAAAAAGAAATTGTTAAGCATTTATAGTAGTAATTTTATTTTATTTTGGAACTAATTTTGATGCATGAATTGAAGTACCTGAAAAACTTGGTATGTTATGTTAAATGAAAACACATGAAAGAGAGTGTCTCGTCACTTTTTTCTCCTTTTTTATGAAAAATATATTCTTTTTGAATGAAATTCTATCATATATTAAGGTTATAAAATTTAGAGAGAGAGAAGGGAACTTGGAATGAGATTTGACTGTCTTAACAAATTTATGATTGTGTTAACATGAACAAATCAAATTTAACTTATTAGAATTCTATTTTTTAATTATAATCATATAAAATTTGATGTTGGTTCGGTTTCTCAAATAACTTTAGAAAATTTTCATTATACATATAAATATTTGATTTATACTCATCATCTACATTCAGATTAAACATTAATATTACATGCATCATTGAGTCGTCTTAATTGCTTATTTGCTAAAATTAAAAATAATAAACAAATTGATCTGGCTAAATTTACCAGCCTTATTTTTAGAGTATTTAAAATATATATATGAATTAATTTCACCTTTACAATTATTAAGTTAGAAACTATCTTCATAATTTCTTGTGAAATGCATATCAAATATTGATCCTATAAAACCCTAAAAAGTGTTCCAAAGAGGCGTGTGAGGATTATCTGACAGCATATGTTATTTTTTTAAGTAGAAATCTATATAAAAATAATATTTTGTCTTGAGTGGCCATAAAAAAGAATATCTGTTGAGAATATTTAGTAACATATAACGCGTATTGACTTTCAACATGAGTTGCCAATTAACTGCATGCGACTGCTGCATTAGCCTTTCTTCATGCATGCTGCATGTAATTATTTAGGCCATATTCAACCAATTTTTGACCAATCAAACAACAAAACATACTTCATTCTCGTATTTGTGAACAGTGCGACTCCGATCATCGCACTGTTCATGATATCTCGCACTATTCATGAAATATATTTTTTTCTGGAAACAGAGAAAGCGGAGGCAGAGCGCGAGGTTAAGAAATAGGGTTCAGTTACAGATGAATTAGTGCATTTTTAAGTGTTACTGAATTTTGGAGCGGAAAATGAGTTTTTCGGTTGGAGATGGTCTAAGAACGAGATCATGCGGCTCATCTTAATATGTTGGTTGGAAACTTTGACTATCAATTAAGAGATCTTGAAATTGAGACTTGCTATGTGTTGTGTGTTTAAATTTGTCCTAAACCACCAAAAAAAAAAAAAAAGATCGAGATCAGGTAAATTAACGATCAGCTTGATTACTAAACATCCTTATTATGAATGATCAGAATACAATTTTTCGGGTCCCCCGCACAAATTCAACTAAAAAATTACATAATAAGAAAGTTGCTCAGTTGACGAGCCAAATTCTATGTAGTATAAATCAGAAATCAGGAGTTAATTAATCTTCCTGCAATTCAAACGTATCTCTCCATTGGCTCCAGTGAGTGGAGTAATAGCTCCCATCTTTATCATCGCAGCAGCAAAATCGCTGAAGAAAAGATTCCTGTTTTGGCTGTACTGCCTCACCAAAGCATCCTGAGTTCCATTATTGAAGAGCTCTTGATCTGAATGCAGCAGGCCTCGAGAGCCGAGCAAGTTCTGGTAGTACTCAGCTCCAAACTTGTTCGGGCTTTGTACGTCCAGCGGCGCCAAGTTGCTATCTCCGCCGGAAGTTTGTGGGCAGCTTCCCTGTCGAAGGGTGGCAAAGCCGGCGTTGATGTTGCCGTCGTTGTAGATGCGAGAGCGAAAGAATTGGCACTGTGCTTGTCCTATGGTGTGCGCGCCGGAGAGCGCCGTCATGTCACGCGCATTCAGACCCTTCGAGGCGAACTTGGAGATGAGGGTGGAGAGGCTCGACGCCGGGCCCGGGAGATCGCTGTTCGCCGTGCTTTGGCTGGCTGTGGTGGCGTCTCTCCGGCCAAGAGCTACAGTCCAAGTTGGCCCGCCGAGCTTAACAACACCATCGCGAGAAGCAAGAGCGAGAATATCAGCACAGGACACCGTTGCGTTGCAGGAGGCCTCGACGCTGGACTTAATGGCATCAATGACTTCAAATCCTCTCGCTGAATTTTTGTTTGGGAATGCATTTTTTTCTCCCGTTAATGTTGCTGTGTCATCAAGAAGAATCGAACCATCACAACCCTGAAATTAGTAACACAAAGATATACTATATTAATCAGTTGAAGAACATAAGTAATGATTATATAAGTATAAGATTATGTGCAATTATATATCATACATTAACGAAGCAGTCATGGAAGAATAGGCGGAGAATGGAGGCAGCCATGCGCGGCTCTTTGGCCACCGCTTGCGCCATGGAAGAGCTCACAATGGATTGCAGGTTTGGGCAAGTTTTAGCGTAGAAGTTTGAAGAGAGTTGGGCTTGAGCAGAGCAAGCAAGCAAGGATAGAAGGGAGAGAGCAAGGAATAGTGAGCTGGAATTGGAGAGAGAAGCCATGGCGACTATGCTACTTTTGCTTTCTGAAAAGCTAACAAGTGAAAGAAGCTAGTCGAGGTTGGTTGCTTTTGTTAGCCAAGGGCTCCTTATATAGACAAAGAGAGTGGGTGGATATATGATTGGTGGCATGGTGATGGGCAAAGGATAGAAGTATTTATTTTTAATATTCAAAGCATATTGAAGCTGCTCTGCAATTTCGGTCGACGTGGTCAACGTACTAGGCATCTTAATTAAGTGAGAAAAGTCCCTTTGGCTTGATACGGCGGAGTTGTTGTTTGACTTCAAGGTGAGAAAGAAATTTTTTATTAAAATTTAATTTAAGCTTTGTTCAGAGAGATTATTACATGCAGAGTTCGAACATAAAGCTACATCCTGACTCTATGTTATGTATGAATGTATGTACACATATTATGTACATTTGTGTACAGTGTGAATAAAACTGTGTGCACAGTATATATGTGTATAAATTTTACACACATAGTGTACAAATCTTCATAGTATGTATAAGGGAGTCGGGATGTAGCTAGCCCTACGTACGGACTCTACGCATAATAATTTCTCTTTCATTTTAGGCATCTTTAGATCACTATTTTTTTTCCTGCTTTCCAGATTTTTTTTACTAAAAAATAGCTTTATAAAATAATAAAAAAAACCGTCCCAAATGAAAGCTTAATCTATCTCTTGCTCTTTATCATCTATTGCTTCAACCATCTTCTTCTTTCCCATTTTTCTTCTCGTTATTCTTAGCTTGCAGCATAAAGATTTTAGAGCTAAATTCCTATTCCTCAACTTCTTGTCACTCGTTGAAATCTTGCCTATTAATAAAATGTAATGCAAACTTAGCAATTTTTTAACAATATACAAATTTATCATCATAGATTACCCACCCATACTGCTCCATACTCTTGCAATTCCTATTCATGAGCAATCCTACATGAGCTTTGTCCTCCCAGTTATTGTACGTGGAACCTTTACGTATCCATCCTTACTCAACTCACTATCGATCTAAAGACATATTTATGTTAACTTACTGCTTAAGCTTCTTTTGGGATCATTTTTTTACTATTTTATAAAATAGCTGTAGAGAAAATTTTTTTGTAAAGCTATTATAGAAAGTAAATTTCTAGTACAAATTTTCTTTGTAAGTAACGAAAATAATTATGTGCATTCTTTAATATAAAACAGTAAGAAAACCCTCCAAAATGAAATCTTAATATAGTCTCATACTCCAATGCCACACCTTCTACATCACACCAAAAACTACAAGCAAGGCGCCTTTAAGCTGCATCCATCATGTATTCTTTGGGGTGTCAATATTTGACACGACATGAAAACACGACGACTCGAATCCGATCCAAAAATTTTGAGTTAGATCCGACCCGATTTTAAAATGGGTCGGGTTCGAGTTGACCCGAAAATTGGTTTGAAATGAGCTGGCCGCACTGCTTAAGCCCGGCCCCCTGCGTCGTGTCCGAGCTGCCCGCGCCCGACCAAGGCTGCCTGTGTAGCGTCGCGAGCCCCATTGTGCGCCGTCCCGCTATCGTCAACCGTGTCTAGTCGTGTCAACCCGGTAACACGACGGGTCGGGTCCGGGTCTAAATTTCTAACCCGTTTACATAACTGGTTCGGGTTAGGGCCTAGTTGTATGAACTCGAGTCAGTTCCGAATTTGATCCGAACCCGACCCAAAACCCAATTTTGACACCCCTATGCATTCTACATGTGATATGGAGTATATATATATAGTATTTCTTCATTCCTTATCAATCCCTCTATAAAGCTTTAATAATCGACTATATATGTTGTAAACCACCACACATACACCAATACACAGTATGTTACATGGGCAAAATACATATAAGTATACAACTTTCAACCCATCCATGCTAGCTAGTCGTCTGATAAACATAATTTATAATTTATTTTTTGGACACTTGATCCAATTAAGACAAGCTCATACATACTTACAACACATATGTAAACATCAAATCCAAAATCTCTTGCTTAATAGGTAAAGCTCCCCCAACCAACATATCAAGACAAGCTAGAATTGTATATGCTAAAACCATTGTTAAAGCTACTGCCTCCAAAAACTGGATATAACACAATAGTTCAAAGAGCGTTGGGTGAGCCGTTTGCATCGTTTGCAAATACAGCGGATTTGCAGCATTTTCTAAACTGCTGCACTGCTACAATGAATTTAGCACGTGTTTCAATCATTGTAATAGGTAAAAAAATGCTAAAAAAGTCTAATTTATTAATTGTGACCGTATCATAAGTTTTTTTAGTAACGGGGGTATCTACCTGCTTTCACCTCAGCTTGTGTGAGGCACATTGTGGTGTGACTAATCCCTCGGCTGACGTGAAAGAGGCACCTACTTCTACATAACCTCCTGGCCCGCACTTATTGGGACCCCACTTAAGAGGCATTGTCGCTCAGAGGGAATCGAACACAGGTTGGGAGATTCCCAACCATACTCGTCCACCAATCAAACAAAGCATCGGTGGGTCCGTATCATAATCCATAATGAGATTCCAATTATGACAAGGCAACTGAGTGTTAATAAAAGTAATTTTACCATGAAATCAATTATGACTCATTTGGGCTCGGATTGGGTTGATCTTGGTGTCGTTGGGTTCGTATTTCCGAGACGCTCAGTTTGACTATAAGATCGCTGAAATCGGAGTTCATATGATCCTGAAATTTAATTTTTGAAGTTTCCGAACTGATTTTGCCTCGAGATTCGTGCCAATCAAGATGATTTTGAGATGACGTATCAATGTCTATTTTTGATATTTTGAATTTGATTTTATGTGAGATTTGAAATTTTGGGATGAATTTATGGGCTTGATTTGCAAAAAAAAAATTAGAATCTGATTTGGCTCTCATACCAAGTTTATGAAATGAACAATTATATATCAGCACTGACTATGAAGCACTTTAGCCCTAAGGATAAATATTGTTAATTTTTTTTTATATTGTTAATATAAATCCAGCTTTGGCTTTTGCATCGATTAGACTATTTGAATTTTTAATTATTTGCTAAACGCAATTAATGCATGCTAATTCAATTAATTAGAGTTAATGCAGACTTTCTGCGTGGGAGATTGAACTTCAAAAATATTTGTAATAAAACTCAGTACTTACAGAATCTATGTTTAAAAACAAACACTAAAGTTAATGATAATTAATAGCTTTTAATAAATGCCTCAATTTAATCAACACGCATATCAATGACAAAAAAAAAATTTCATGAAGTGATTTGGTCGATTGGAGGTCGCATAGATTTCCAAGTACTCCTCAGTAAAAGGAGAAATTATTATATGGGAAAGTCAAATGTAGCTCGCATCTGAACTCCAAAGAAATTATGCTATATCACAGTAGTGTGTACAAATTATGCACTATGTACAAGATGTACACACTACTGTGTGCAGACGACATGCATGGCGCAATTTCATTAGAGTTCGAATGCATTTGGATTCGGCACATAATAATTTCTCCAGCTAGAGAGGCTCAATATTGAATGTCTTATTTTATTTGATCTAAATCCAATATTTGTTTAATATTTAAGTTTTTTATAACTTAAAAATATCAGTTATTTGAGAGATAATTCCATCGATAGGTTATGTGGGATGGTAAGAAATAAAATAATCTTCTAATTTAAGCGACTGTTTGTTGGAATGCAAAGATGGACTATTTTTACACATTTTTTGCTTTGTTTGGAATAGTTTTCTTATTGTTTTCTAAGAATAATTACTCTTTCGGCTAATATCATAACGATGTCTTTCAAAATCTCTGTGATTTAAACCCTAAACAACTTCTAAAGATGTTGATTGAAGATATTGGCAACAATGGCTCATATCACTATGACATAGCCTCAAATTGCATCCAATCGCCTGAGCTAGCCCTTGCCAAAGTGGGTTCATTAAACCTTCTTATGAGTTGTATTTTCTTATCACCAACCAATCAAAATAGGCAGGACCATCCGAACTCCGGGCACGAAGCTAGAGGAATATTCAAGTAATTTTTTTTTTAATTTCATGCGAGATCATCCGGACTCCAATTTTAGCAAATTTATAATCAAATAGAAATTCTCAGTGAGACGAACCGAGTGACATCAAAATAAGTCAAATCTAAGTCCAAGTGGGCCCAAATCAAGGGAAGGAAGCATATTTGGAAACTTCAAAGTATAAGTTGGATGATAAAATGATATCCAAATATGACATGTTTATGCTCAAATCCAACAAGTCCAAAGGCACTTAATTTTGACATCATTAAGGCTAGGGGTGTCAATTTCGGGTCACGGGTTGGGTTCGGGTCGAACCCGAAACTGACTCGGTACTATTCGGGTCAACCCGAACCCGACCCGTTTCTGTAAACGGGTCAGTTTTCCGGACCCGAACCCGACCCGAATGACCCGATTCGGATAAAAACCTGCTAGTTTTTGGGTCCAAAAATGGGCCAAACTCCTTTTTTCGGGTCAAGAACGGGCCGAAAACGGGTCAATCTTGGGTTCCTGGGTCAATCTCGGGTTCTCGGGTCAAAAACGGGTCATTTTCGGGTCAATTTCGGGTTGACGGGTCAACCCGAACCCAACCCGATTTTTGAAATGGGTCAAATTATTGAACCCGATCCGTTTCGGGTTCGGATCAACCCAAACCCGAAATTTTTGGATCGGGTTCGGGTCAGGTTTTCAGGTCGGGTCCAATATTGACACCCCTAATTAAGGCACTTAAGTGATGCATGAACACTCTATTATTAAATGAATCGATATGGACCACCTAATGGAGCATTCCGAATTTGTCTTTGATCTTCTCCATATTTACAAAACTTGTTAGTCTAAAAAATTTATAAATAGACCCCTACCTCCCACATGTAAGGGGGTCTTCTACTTTTAGAGGTTTAGGCCATGGGATAGATGCTCAAGAGAGCTTTGAGGCTTGAAACATCACAGAGCTCCACCCCGACACCATTGTCGGTAAACCCTCGCTACCAGGTTGCCCTAGTTGACCTATGCCCAACCATTGCCATCAAACCTTTGTTCGGCAACCACTGCCGAGTCTTCGTCCAAACTCCATCACCCGTCATCTATAGTCCCTCTAATCACTGTTGCTTGCTGATTATAGTCCCTGATTATGGTCCCTTCGATCATTGTAGCCCACCGATTATGGACACTTCGACCTCCGTTGCTCGCCTACTACTGTCTCTCCAACCATCGTCACCCATCCAACTATGGTCCATTCAACCTTCGTTGCCCGTTGACTACGATAACTCTAACCACCATTGCCCATCCAACGATGGTCCCTTCGACCTTCATCGCTCGTCTACTACGATCCCTCTAACCCCTGTCACAACCAACTACAGTCCATCTTACCTCCTTCACCAGCCAATTACGATCCCTCCCAACCTTCATCGTTTGCTAACTACAATCCACCCGACCACCGTCGCCCAAGTCTCAACTAAGGTCCATTCGACTTCCATCACTTGCTAGCTACAGTCATTTCGACCTTTGTCAACCAAATATAGTTCTATCAACCAAATGAACATGCCAATATCTCTTCAGAACATCTCTCAAGACATTGGATTTATCCAACCCCAACCATGTAAAGTGCTCTGTATAATGTATATTTTGTGCATTGAGCCAACGCCTTCCCTCGAGAAATGGCTTCATTTATAATTCACAACAAACACTAGTAGATTCACGTTAATTGGGCAATGCCTCGTGATTTTTCTCCCTTTTTAGAAATTTTTACGTAAAAATTATGGTATCTTATAACTCTTGCACCCCTCTATCTTTATCTGTATGCATGTTGAATCTGCATTCAAAGCTAGGACGATAAGCTCTTTATCTCTCTACCGTCGCATATGTTCTAGGATGCAACAAGACTATATTCTACCCTAATAACCTTTACACTTAGTGATTCTATGTCACTCAATTTCCCTTCCTTCCAAAAGAGAGATTTTTTGTTCTATCTTCAATCACCTATTACTCTAGCTCTCATAGTTTTCTCTCCTTCTATGAGAGTAACTGCCCTTATCACCTTCGGCCACTTATTGAATTCAAGGTCACATAATTTTCTCTCCTTCAAGAGTAAGGCCTACCCAATCACCTCCTAGCACCTTTTGACATCATGCTTATCCAATCCACTCCCTTCACTAATGTGAGAGACTACCTAACTACTATCTTACAATATCCACGCCAAAAAACACCTAGACTCTATTCATCAGCACTATAAGAGATATTCACGGGAGATCGAATCTTTTACATTGTACGCAAAACTTTTCTAATATATTTAAAATAGTGGTAGCCCTTTATAATATATGACTCTTCAATACAATTAATTTTTATTGATCTAGATATTAAAACTTTTTTTATATCTTCATAAAAAAATTATACATCATGCATGTGTTTTATTTTCTAATTTCTTAATTTTATGTGAATCATTATTGAAAATTAAGGCAATAAATTCTCTCTCAAACTCTACTATCTTGTAATTATTTATGTTAGTGAGGTAAATATATATTGATTGAAATTCTTGAAGGAGTATATATATATATATATATATATCGCTTTATTCTAAGCCACTAAAATTTTAGCTTGTTTTTATATCAACTTTTATTTAATAATTAGACAAAAATGAAAATATTTTCCATCTATTAGGGCTGCATGCGAACCAAACGTTCGACGAGCTACTCGTTGTTCGGTTCGATTAAAGCTCGTTTGTGATCGTTTAATTAACTAAATAAACAAACTTGAACAATATTTTAAATACTTGATTCTTAAATAAACAAATTTGAACACTAATGCTTTAGGCTCATTTATGTTCGCGAACAACATCATTTGAAGTTCGTGAACAAGCTTTCGATTTTGAACTCGTGAATAAGCTCGATAAAAATAATTAATATTTGACTATAGAATTAATAAATAGACAATTACTTTTATTAAAAATGTGTTCGTTCATAGATATGTTCATGAACGTGTTTGTTTGATAGTTAAAAAAATTCGTTAAATATGTTCGCGAACAAGCTCGATAAGCACTAAACGAACGAACATGAATTGAACATAAACACTCATTAATTTAAATGAACTAAACATGAACCCAAACAATAAATCTCGAACAAATATGAACCAAACTTGAACAAACTGATATTAAATGACACTCATATACTCAGCTCGACCCGATTCGTTTGCCGCCCTACCCTCTATGGACATGGACTCCTTGGAACGATCCGGAACCCCATAAGAAGCAAGCTCTCGCACTACAATTAATGGTTCGATCGGCCGATGCCCTCTTGTGGGCTTTGGGCGCGACATGGCTACCAGCAGTCCTACTGAACTCCATTCGCTATTTCGCTGCTTCTCCCTCTCTCTCTCTCTCTCCAGCTCCACAACTGCCGAGAAGACTTCATTAATTTCGCCTGCTTCGCTCTGTTCCCGACCACTTGCTCGATATTTTAAGTCCTCGGAGCTTTCGAGATTCAAAGAAGCCAACAATTACTTTTCCTGCAAACTCAGTTTTTTATTTATGACGATAATGGTGCAATCGTTGCCGGCATCATTCGTATATGCAAGCCTCGGGCTTTCTGTACCGAAGAAGAGAACCCTGCTTGATTCAGCCCCCAATGGCGCAGTGGCTGCCGGATCTCTTACTCTTGGCGGTGGTTTTCTCCTCGTTGCTGCATCTCGTGCTTTCGACTGACCCTCCTCTCTCCCCCAAGGGCGTCAACAGCGAAGGTGCCATTTTATTGATCCCTAAATGCTGCGTTGTCTTATTATACTTTGAGATTTATTTTTCCGATCACAGTGGTGGCGTTGATGTTGATGAAGAGCATGATGAGGGATGAGACCGGGGTCATGGGCGGATGGGACATTAATTCCGTGGATCCTTGTACGTGGACGATGGTCGGATGCTCGCCCAATGGCCTCGTTATTTCTCTGTAATTCTTCATCCGAGGCTTGACTGATCATATTGAATTAGAATGTACTATTGTTTTGAGCAAAACATGGTTCTTCCTTTCGGATTTCATGTGAATTTTCTGAGGTATGGCAGGGATATGGCTAATAATGGCTTGTCGGGTACGCTATCGGCGAGTGTGGGAAACCTAAGCCACCTTCAGACCATGTGAGTCTCCCAATTCTGTCTTGAAACTATTCTGTTGTTTATAATTGCTTGAAATTTTAAGAAATGTTTACTGTTGGTTAAGGATAGCTATCCACTTTTATTTTCTCATCTTAGTGGAAAATCAATGAGGCTATTTGGGCATTCCAAACAGGATTTAGTAAATCTTCTAAATATCTCAAGAGGATTAAAACCTGAAAACTATTGGGCATTCCAACTGTTAAATCTTGTTAACTCTTGATTAACTATTTGACTATTTATTTTAGGATTTTAAATGTTTGAGATGGGAGATCCTTAAATCCATTAAACGCAATGGTGGAATTTAATAAATCATATATTTAACCAATAACAGGGCTTAATTAAACGAGCTTTATCAAAGAAGTAGATCATAAAAATGCCAACATTCTATTTGACAGAATTTGAGCTAAATCTTAGATACATCCTGCCTAAAATAGGATATGAAACGGCCCCTAAGTTTCCACTGAATTGGATATAATCTAAGACTTTCCTTCTGAAATCATCAGAAATGAACAACAGGGTTTGTTCTTTTATTTGTATTTACATTCCTTGAAGTTTGAATAGCTCTTTTGTCCTATCATGTGAAACAATTCAACAAACAAAATGTCATTGGATGAGAAATTGTACGAGTTTGTAATGTACAACCAGGACCTAGGAATTATGCTCAAAATTATGAAACTATAAATTTGCAACTCCAAGTTCTTTGATCATCTCCAACTGAACTGCATACCACCGTATTTCGTCCGCCGTTCGCTACATTCGAACTCCAAATGTCACACCAAAATTCGGTAGGTGAACAGTGTGACTCCAATATTGGCGTCGGACTGTTCACCTACGCCAAAAAATTGAGTTGCGGAATTTGTCGAATAAGAGCGCGAAAGAGGAGAAGAGCGCGAAAAAGGAGCGAGATGGTTATCTTCGCAAGAAGCGCACGAAAGAAGAAAGAAATGCAGTTCGATTGGAGATGAATCACGATATTTTGAAGTTTACTGCATTTTAGAGTGAAAAATGACTTTTCGGTTGGAGATGCCCTTAAGTTTAAAAGTTTGGTAAGCGCTCAGAAGTTACATCATTACGTTTCTATTTCTTTTTTATCCCAGGCTTTTGCAGAACAACAAAATAACAGGTCCTCTTCCTGTTGAGATTGGGAAGTTATCACAGCTCAAGACTCTAGACCTATCTGATAATCAATTTGCTGGTCAAATTCCTGGATCCCTTGGACTTCTGACTCACCTAGGTTACTTGTAAGAAACTTGTACTTCAATTAGGTTCTCTTGGTTGATTTATCATTCACATGCCATAATGCTATTTATTTTTCCTATACAGGCGACTTGATAGGAATAATTTTTCTGGCCCTATACCTGAAGCTGTTGCACAGCTTGCTGGCCTTACTTTCCTGTATGTGCTGTGTCGATTCCTCAGCTTAACTAAGTATTTCACTGCTTATATGTAACTCATGGAAACAATTTGTGACAGAGATTTGTCTTTCAATAATCTAAGTGGCCCAATCCCAATGATTTCTGCAAAAGACTATAGGTTGGTTAAACTGATAATATAGTTGAACGGTAGAAACTTATGTGTTCTTGTATCTTGAGATACTATTATTGCTTCTTATTTGAGAACTTGAGATTATCATACTTCAGTGTTGCAGGAAACTATTTTCTATGCAATTCATCTACAACACGTGGATGTGCAAATGGCTCTGTAGTAGTCAATGGTATTTTGCTATCAGTTGATCCTTATACATAAATTCATTTTTCCTACTTAACTATATCTACTCCATTTGTAGAACCCATCACTTCAGGAAAATCCAGCAACCATCATTTAGCTGTTGCAGTCTCTTTGAGTGTCATCTGCGTTTTGATACTTTTTGTACTTATGCTTTTTTGCTGGCTACATCGATGCCGATGGCGATTGCCTTTTGCTTCTGCTGGTATGTTTCACTCAACAAATAAAGTTTTTTTCCTAAGACGAAGTGTGAGGTTGATAACTAAATTGTCACAGACAAAAAATATGAATTTGGAATGGGTCAATTGAAGAGGTTCTCATTTCGGGAGCTGCAGGTTGCTACTGATAATTTTAGTACCAAGAACATTCTTGGCCAAGGCGGATTTGGGGTGGTTTATAAAGGAGTTCTCAGAAATGGAACTGTTGTTGCTGTAAAAAGGTTGAAAGATCCCAACTTTACTGGGGAAGTACAGTTCCAAACAGAAGTTGAGATGATTGGATTAGCATTGCATAGGAATGTCTTATGCTTGTATGGTTTCTGTATGACATCAAATGATAGACTACTTATCTATCCGTATATGCCAAATGGGAGTGTTGCTGATCGGCTAAGAGGTTTGTTTCTTTGACAATTTTCAACTTTTCTGCTGCAAATTGGATTTAAATTGTGTGGTATTTGAATTCAAGACTTTGAATGGTTGCTTTCAAATCTATGCAAATTAATTGTTCGACTAAAATGTTATCTTATGTATGTCAAACTGCGAAGATGAAAATGTTTCATATTTGCTTCTCATTTTGATGTTGGATGATTTAGGATTTAGATGTCATAATGCAGATTTAACATGAATAAACAATTACTTTTTGCAAGAAGTTAATCTTAAATAACTTTTTTTAACTCGTATAAAAACTGCAAAGAATGATAAATCCAATTCAAACAAATGACATGTAATCTTAGTTAAAAACGAAAAAGAAATTCGATTGATTTGGTTGTGCTCATTCCATTTTCTAGGCGAACAGGGGGTTTGATGTATTTTTAGTACATTAAAATTAAGAGGCTTGGATCAAATCAATTTGAAAGTTTATTCTAAATTCATCACTTTTGACTATAAATTGAAACCTTCGATTTGAAATTAAGGCTTCATTTGGAACGGCTTTCTTACTGCATAAAATAACTTTTTAGTACAAAAATTAAAATTTTTATAATAGAAAATTGCTTTAAGAAGTAGTAAAAAAGCTGTCCCAAACGAAGCCTAAGACTGATTTGCTCAAACTCGCTCAGTATCAACCGTAATGAAGTAGTCCATGATTCTTTTTTCTTCATAATTTTGTATTATTTTAAACAGATCATAATAATGGAGTACCATCTTTGGACTGGAACAAACGAATGCGGATTGCACTTGGGGCTGCTCGTGGATTGCTTTACTTGCACGAACAATGCAATCCTAGAATCATTCACAGAGATGTTAAAGCTGCCAATATTCTACTTGATGAAAACTATGAAGCCATTGTAGGAGATTTTGGGCTGGCAAAGCTTTTAGATAGGAGGGATTCTCATGTCACTACAGCAGTGAGAGGAACTGTAGGACACATAGCACCAGAATATCTATCAACTGGCCAATCTTCAGAGAAAACTGATGTCTTTGGATTTGGCGTTCTATTGTTAGAAATGATAACTGGACAGAAAACGCTATGTTCTGGAAATGGCAACACCCAGAAGGGGGTCATCCTTGAGTGGGTAAGTACTATTCTCAGAATATAAACTTGTGATTATTTTGTTTGATGTACTTAATAAAATTTTCATTAATAAAACTGCTGATTATTTTGTGGTAGGAAATACTTGAGTTCGCAAGTAACCCTAACGGGAAATACTTGAGTTCACAAGCAAACCTAACAATAATCCGTAAAACAGTGACAAAAAAAGAGAAGAACGTTGGTGGAAACAATAAAAAACAATAGATAATCTTGTAGAAATCAAAGCAAAGGAAGAACGAAACAGAGATACAATTAATCTTCATTTCGAGAGGAGGTTTGTTCTCTCCCAATCTCTAGACCAGAAGTCTAGAGCCCAAAACATCAAAGAGAACTCCAAGAGAGACAATAATCATGCATGTCCTAACCCTACCCTCTCATGTTCTTTAAATACAAAGCTTCCTAATATAAATTAATTTCAAATCCCCCTCTTCTTGCTTAAACCGTCCTCCCTCTCTCTCTCCTATTACCGCCCAAGGAAGTGGGGCCCATTTGATCAGGCGGTGGGGTTTAGAGGAGGCGGCTTAGTCCGCCTCCTATATGTCTAAACCGGCCCCTCCTAGGCCGGCTTGGGCTGAGGCGTAACATTCTGTTTGATGCACATTCATTGATGTATTCTTGACGTCAATGGCGGTTTGTATGACTCATTAGTCTAATTGGTACAGGTGAGAGAGTTGTATGAAGAGAAAAGGTTACACAGTATGGTGGACAGGAAGCTCAATGGCTTCTTCATTGCAGCTGAACTGGAGAATGCAGTAGAAGTGATTCTTTTGTGCACCCAATCCAATCCAAGCATCCGACCAACGATGTGTGAAGTGGTGAAGGCTCTTGAAAAAGCCAGACCAGCTGAACAACAAGTAGAAGAATCGCATGAGGTGTTGCAGGGCACTTCTTGCAGTTTATCCAGATTCCATGATGACATCAATGAAGCTTCTTCATTTGTCATTGAACCGATTGAGCTCTCAGGGCCAAGATGACAGGATTCCAAATCTTACCTCGGTAAAAATCTCTCAATGATGTATGGCTAAGTGTCTTACAATGAATTTTGTTTTGAATGTGGATTATAAATGTATATATTCTTGCTAATGGCCTGATGATTTGCTGATATGTTTTTTTTTCTGAAAGATTGCTGTTTATGCTACATCACTGCTTGCTGATCTTCTTTGTTGTTTGAGGCATGACTGATATACATTTTTTAGATCTGTCATATTTTTATTTGATTATAATTTTTGAAATAAAAATATTTCATGTTGATCCAATCATTTGATATATATTTTTATTAAAAAAATTATTAATCAAATCACTTCAACATTCCTCATTATTCTCCAAATCACATTTGATATCTAGCATTTTAAGTTTATAAGATATATAGTGGGTGGTGGTCGGTGGCGGCAGTGGTCAGCGATAGGTGGTGATCGATGGCGACAACCGGTTGTGGCTGAGCTTGCTTGCGATATAAACAATTTTCACTCAAAATTGGGCGAGAATTCTTTATCTCAAAAATGAGGTAAACTGTTTTATACTATTATTAAGCTTTATTTTTGCATTTCTTTTTCATTCAATAAAACATCAAATTTTTCAAAAATTTTAGGATCATTTTATTTTATACTCATTTTACTTCTAATCAAATAATTTCTTAAAGTGACCTTTTAAGCTTTTTTAATTGATATTTAAATTAAGATTTGATTATTTTAACTTTTACTACATCCAATTTAATCAAAGTACCTAAATGATCTTTTATCTTACTTAAGTTTTTTTTTTTTAAATTTCTTAATATCAAGCATATTATATAAATTATCAAATAATATATAAGTTTTGGTATACTAATTGGATCATTTGTAAATATTTTAAGTTTTTTATAATTACTATAATTAAGCATCATTAGCAATTAATTTGTCGCTACCTTTTAAAAAGCACATTTTTAATGGTCTGATATATTTTTAAGCTTAAAAATTTTAAAATATATTTTTTTAAACTAGTCATCTTTTCTCACATCAAATCTGACTTAAATGATAAAATTTCTTTACTCATATTACTAAGTTTAAAATAATATCTATAATTTTAATATCATTTTGATACAATTTCTATAATATATTAATTATTGTAAGTATAATTGATATTTAATATCTTGATGTTGTAAAAAATTATATCATGAACAATTTTTGTCTTAATATCTTGGTGTTTTTTGTTGTTTGTTGTTTTTTTTTTTTTTATTATTATATAAATTATATCATGAACATAAAAAATTGTAGAAGACAAGAAAATTTTTTACATAGAAATTCAGAAAAGAAGAAAAATCATTGGACATATCTCAATTATAACAACCCACTATAGAATAGGAGTTACAAGAATCTTCTTTTTCTTACAATTTGAAGAAGGGATTATGTTACTCTTGATGTAGGGATTACATAATTATGATGTCTACAAATAGATGGTTAAGAACCGAACAAAATTGAACATAGTGAAACGATTACTAGTGGTTGTTGACAACGGTGATAGCCGAAAAATTCAAAAGAGCTCTTCAGTTATCTTCTGTTCATCCACCTCCCCTTGTGTATAGAATGAAATGTTATCTATAGAGTGTTTTTATGATAGATATTTTGATAAATTTGATCATAATCCAAAGGACTCCATTGAGTGATTCACTTAATCATATATTATTTATCAAACATTTGAATACTTTAGCGATGTCAGAATTTGATTTATCTCATCGAGATGCTTAATTTGACTATAAGCATTATAAAATTGAAAGTCATTGGATCATTAAAATATATTCAAAAAATTTCAAACATTATTTAAATACTTGATTTGAGCTCATTTGGAATCAGATCGAATCATTTGTAGCAACAACATGTTCGTTTCGCCGAGACATTTAATTTGATTATTAATTTGTTGAAATGAGAGTTCTCTCTCTTATTATTTGATTAAAAATAAAAGTTGATATTATCAATCAATGCACCCAACCTCAATGTCAAACTTGCCAACGCTGAGACAATATATGTTTAATAGAGAGATAATATAAGATAATTGATAATATTTAAAATAGGGAGATAAGCTTTTATTAACTAAGGACAAAAAGTTAAAGACAAATAATTTAAAAAAAAAAAATCTTAGAGTACTGAAGAAAGGTCAATTGGGCATTGAATATCATGATAATGGACATTTTTACCCCCAAGTATTTCATCGAATTTTACTTGAAGGCCTCACAAAATTTTCTTCTATACCTAAATTTCTTAAAATAATAATAATTTGCTGTATTAATACTTCATGGGAAGAACTGGAATGTTATCAAAAATCAACTGAATGAGGCAAGAATTTTGATGCATATTTTAATTGAAAGTTTTTGAATTTAAATCCGAGACCATCTAAACTCTGATTTCAACAAACTTTGTTTAATGGAATGTCCTGACAAGAGAAACTCATGAACATCACAAGTGTTTCAATCCGGCTTCAAAGAAGCTCAACTCAAACATCTGAAATGTAATTGGAAAGTTTAAGCCATTAATTAGATAACCAAACAATCTCCAATTCTTGCATTTTTATAATCAAATCAAGCGTAACAAGCCCCAAATAATCACATCGATGTCATTGATGTATTAAAATGCTAGAAATACGATCAATGTGATCAATATGGATCATTTAAAGAAGTATTTTTTATTATGATCAAATTTATCAAAATGCCCTTAAAAAATCTACAAATAAGACTTCATTTTAGACATAAATGAGGTTCCGGAGTTGAGAAATCAACATAACTCTACTACATTACCCAAAGATCATCAATTGATGAGTTGCTGACCATCGTCGCATGACTAGTGACTACTAACATCCAATTCCATCATTTAACTTCCATCCCGGTCTTTGTTACGTTATTATAGTTAGACTCTTATTATATAATTATCTCCAACTTTTATCGTTTATTTCGTAATATTTATAGTAAAAGCCAAATAATTATTCTCAAATTCTTGCATCTTGAATTTGATACTGAAATATTTCAACTAGACTAATCTTCATGAGTTTTCTCCTTTTTTGAGCTTTCAACATACAAAATTCAGATACATATTGCAACTTCTATGTCAACTGGACGAATTTTTATTGCGTCCTCCCACCTGACTTAGAGATACGTCCTCTCAGAGCTAAAATCGCGTTAAAAAATGAGAAATACCGAGCAATACCAAACAATAACGAGGAATATCATCATGTGAAGACCAATATCGAGCTATACCGAGCAATACAAAAAAAATACCTAATTTTTCCTAGAAAAAATTCGATATTTTTTTTATTGCTCGGTATAGCTCGGTATAACTCGGTATTGGTCTTCACATGATGATATTCCTCATTATTATCAAATAATACGTAGCAATACCGAGCAAAAACCGAGTTTTTTGACGGTGGGAGGACGTATCTCTACGTCAGGTGGGAGGACGCAATAAAAATTCCAACTGGACACACCGTTCACACACTTCTAACAGATATCAAACAAAGCAAAAAATTATAGAGAAAAGCTCATTGAAAGCCAACAGCTATCAAATCAAACTCCCATAAAAGACAATAATTTAATCTTCCCATAAAAATTATTGACACAAATGTCAAAAAATGTGAACATTTATGCTGTCAGGTGATACATCAGCAATGGGGAACCCTAGCACTTGGATCCTCCAGGTTTTTTTTTTTTTTTTCTTATTAAAAATTCTCCTTTCATTTTTATAACTAGACTCATGAAAGCCAAAAATGCTTGAAATCACTTGAATTTCCAACTTACCAACTATGGAAGTTTCATGTAGCTTTGGAGACCTCATGAATTGCATTGGCCAAGTAACCCACATTACCTGTGGTAACTCCCGCCATGCTGCATAAAATCACCAATTATTTCAAAATCACTTGGTTGTTTCAAGTTAGAAAATATGTACTTAAGAGAGAGAGAGAATGAGGAGAAATTATTTTGTGCAGACAACCGGCAGTTCGAAGGCGAATCAGAACATGCCACATCACGCAGCACATAATGGTACACAGCAAAAAAATGACGTGACGTGTTCTGATTCGTCTCCGGACGGCGTCCGAATCCGCACAAAATAATTTTATAAACAAGAGAGTGCACTATGATTAAGGTTTCATTTGGGACACCTTTATTATTTTCTCAAACAATTTTTTAGTTAAACAAAATTTTATATTAAAATTTTATTTTAGAAAACAGTATAAAAGTTGTCCTAAATGAAGTCTAAATCACGCGAAAAACATACAAAATACCTGATTCGACCATTCCTGGTCATGTAAATATGGAAATCATTTGTCAAGCGATCAACTTGTTCTGGTGTCAATCCACTGTAGCAAAACATTCCGATCTATAAAGAAAAACAAAACTTATTAATTTGGCTTAGGAAATCGAGAGACCTGAAGAAGTTACATGATAAGGTGGTGATGTGAACAGCTCAACTGAGCGTCATTTCATGCGATGGGTATAGATTGTAGTGGAAAATTAAATCAAGTTTTATTATCTTAAACTCTATTCTAGACTGCACTGGTTATAAGTATATGAAATATCGATGACGTGTTAATGTAGTGATATTTCTAGGACTATGATACCTGTGTTTGTAATATTCTCCTAGGCTTCGTTTGGGATAGACTTTGGCCCCTACTTTTTTACTGATTTCAAGAAATTTGTGTACTAAAAAGTTGCATTGGAAAACAATTAGAAAGCCATCCCAAACAAAACCTTGGTCTTTTATGTTTTTCAATATAGTTTGTTTGTAAATCATAAAATAAAGAGGGTTTATAATACAGATTTAGCCATTCAATCAATTACGCAAATAAAGAAAGCCTAAGCCGGCTCTCGATGCCCCCATTTTGAATCCATCTATGCTATAGAATATTAAAAGAATAAAAGAAAAGCAATCACCTAAAATAAAGCTTCCATTTTGGGAGAATGAAGTCAAACAATTAACAATCAGAATATGATCAAACGTTTGTATGATCAAACATTTGGATGTAGAAATCAGAAGTCAAGCTTTATGGAAATTTTACCACTTTCGAAGATAGTTCAAGTCAAATTAGTCGTCCTATGAAGCATTTCTCTAAGCAATGTAGCAATACTTCTAAGTTCCTTAAACCATAGGCAAGTAGGTTAGATTCGTAAATTAGTCATAATCATTAATCTTATAATAATATTTGGCGCGAGCTTTTGAGGTTTTAATCGACAAAGACGCATATGGCATTAACTCTACCGGTTCAGATAAAATTTCACTTAAAAATGGTGGAATTTTGTCAGATCAGTCATATCATGCGCTCATATCACTTCTAATACATGGAATAAGATGTTTTATTTTCTTTGGACTTTGAAGGTTAGTCCAAGTTAGTGCAACTAGAACAAGGAGATAGCAGGGAAGAAAAAAGCTCCTAAACACTCGACCATGGCTCTCACCACCATGAAATGAGATTCAATAAGTACTTTAGGGCTATTATCAAGCAGAGCTCAAGTGAGCTCATCGGTTGTTCTTGTTTAGCTCGTTAAAATATTTGTTCATTTGATTTCGACAAGTGTTTAAAATTATTCGTGAATAGCAAGTTTGTGTTGAACTCATTTTGAACTTGCTTGTTCATGTGGGGCCCATACTTGGCTCGAATTTAGCTTTAAATTAATTGAGAAATATTAAATTTCAACTTTTCTTAAAAAAACACCTTAAAATCAAAATAGATATGCGAAAATTTAAAATTTACAGCTGAAATTCTATGATTACAACTAATTCTAGCTCAAAGTATACATTTGTATTTGGCTCACTTAACCAATTAGTCAAATACGAGCTTCCTATTGAGTTAAACAAGAGCTGTTCACAAACGATGAGCTTTTTTGACAACCATATGTATCTTCATCCAATTATCTACAATTGAGAATATTGTAACTATGATAAAGTAATTTCAAATGCAACAATAACCGTTAAGCCATCTAAAACCTAGGGCAACAGGTTAGATAAGACAATTAGTCAAAATCATCAACCATTAATTCTAGATGTTGCAGTTTTGATTGAACCAGATGGCATGTTTTCCAATCAAACAATATCCAACAATCCTTTCATAATCAGAAAATGCGCCTCAAATTCAATAGATGGTTGAAGCTTCAAGCTCACCTGATTAGTTATATGCTCCCATGACAAGTTGGACCCCAAATTTTCAATGTTTTCGCGTAGTGCATTTCGCATTCCAATGATTCGATTCGCCATACCCTGAAAGGATGAACACATGCACTTCACTGAAAATAGATATTTCAATTGTTAATCTTCACATGTATATCTGTTGCTCACTTCCTTGTGGATTAATAAAGAATGGTATAAACTAATATTGAACATATAGATGTGAATGATTACCTTAACTTCCTTCAACCATAAGCTCTTTAGCACTGAATCACTAAGGATGATGGAAACAACAAGTGCACCATGAATAGGTGGATTACTATACATAGGCCTTGCAATCTGCTGCAATTGACTCTTCACTGCAACCGCTTGTATCTCATTTTCACAAAGAATGCTGCAATAAGCACAAGCAAATACAGAAAAGAAAAAAAAAAAATCCTTAGTGAAACCCTAGAAGGAGAACTTGGACAAATAAAGGTAGCAGTAGCACCACCATGTTGCTTGTATAAAAAATAGAGAATAGATTATGGCTCTAACCGACATTAGTAACCATGCAACGTACAAGTAATTTCACAAACAAAGAAAACATAATAACTGATCTATGCATGGTACCTAGTTGAGACCTTCACCGCTTACAACAAGTAGAAAAATGTATGATCGAACATCATAAATTTGGCATGCAATGTGACCATGAAATCATACAAATTCATCAACCAAGCAAACAGGAAATCAAATTATTTCAGCACGAAACTTCATAATCCCTAGAGTCAACTTCTATATAAAACATTAAGGCTTTATTTGGGATGACTTTCTAGTTGCTTCTTAAAGCATTTTTCTGTTGCTTCTTAAAGCAACTTTCTAATATAAAATTTTTAATTTTTGTACTAAAAAACGGCTTAAAGAAACAACAAAAAAATCGTCCCAAATGAAGCCTAAATTTAAGATCTATGTATACCTGAGGCATCCAGCTCTCTGCCCATAAAGCCCCATATTTTTGGCAAAGGATTGTGCACAACCAATCATATGCCCGTCCTCAAGGAAAATCCGAATCGCCTTGGCATCTCTTTCAGGGTCACCACTAGCAAAGCCTTGGTATGCCATATCAAAGAATGGGAAATGATTCTTAACCTATAAAACTAGAAATTGGTGACAAGGTAAACACTGAAGGGTGAAAAGAAATATTCAATAAAATGGATTATATTGAAAACCAAAACCAAATAAAATTTCTCACCTTGAACTGATGTGATATCTCTCTCCATTGATCTTCAGATGGATCAACCCCAGTTGGATTATGCGCACATGCATGAAGCAAAAAGAATGAACCGTTTGGCGCATTCTGAGTGCAACACATTTTAAATCATAACCATTTCAAAAATTAATTGAATCTCAATTGCAAAAACATTACAGATCAATTTCATGAGTCTAAACTAGTATGAAAAAATAACTAGTTAAAATATAGGTGGAATGTGGTTATACTAATGAAACAGGCTGTTGAAGATAATTAAATGAATGTCTAGCTAGATAACATGGAATGTCTGATTTAATGATAACAATAAGTGATTAAATAAGCTAAGAAAAGAATGCTTAGAGCCTTTAACCTTAAGAGCTTCCAAAGACAATGAAAAAAGGAAAGTGGGTGAAGGAATAAATATCACACAAGTTCCAAAATAGATAAAGTTTGAATAATATGTGCAAATTTACCCTGAAACAACATTGTTTATTGAAAATTCAATAGTGTGGTTCACTTGCCTTAATATCATCCATCATGGCAGCAAAGTCAAGTCCCTTTGTTTCTGGATGGTAGTAATGGAATGTCCTTTGAGGCACATGCGCATCCCTCCAAATGTTATGATGACTGGCAAAATGATCACATCAGCAATAACAATGATATGCTCAGATAATAGTAGCTTTCACATCTTTTTAATGGCCATATAAATGAATATGCTTGTAAGTCTAGCTTGTTTTTATACATCAGGTAGATAATAGAGCTATAAAATATATGCCAGGTAAAAATATTATATTATTAAGACACAAAATAGCACTCACTTTGCCCAGGTAGGTATAGGTATATAAATTTGTGAATCAGGCAAGAAACGTTTCTGAAAATCAGCAAAAAGTCGGCATGCACCAGTTCCTGATAGAGCTTGAACTGCTGCAATGCGTTTGTCTTTTATTAATTCAGAATCATCGCCATACGCTAACTTCAATGACTCTTCAATCATCTTGATACTGCCTCCCATCGGAAGGTACTCCCTGGCAATTAAGGATCCTGCTTTATTGGTGTTGAATTGGAGGATAATTTATGCCTTGAACGGTATAAATAACATTCCACAATCATTTCCAAGCTAAGTATCAACCAGCATAAAGTTATAATGGAAGTTTTAGAGAATCAACTATAACGTTAATATATATATATATACACATAGAGAGAGAGAGAGAGAGAGAGAGAGAGAGAGAGAGAGAGAGAGAGAGAGAGAGATCATTGGTGTAGAAATTTTTTCACTAAATCTAATTAAAAGACTATTCATAATTACTAACTCAGGGGTTAACATGATAATTAGAGGTTAATTTAGGTTGCCTATAATTAGCAGCTATAAAATTTCATAAGTAGTCAACTTCATGTAATTTTTGACTAAACACTCCGCAACACTTTCAGCATAATTTGTGGTTAATGAATGGTTATTATACACGAACTAATCGCAGTCAATTAACATAATCAAATTATAATATAATAAGCATATCATTCCAGATCCCTTGCTTGGCTCATTAACTGTAGTGAAGTATTAACATTAATTGATACAAAAAACATATTCAATTATGATTTAGTGGCAAATAACACCATTTCCTAGCAAACTATATGTGAGCCATTTACAACAATTTATATAAATATTTTTCAATCACTTTTTACAATTAAAATCATATCAATTATAATTGATCAAAGTAGTGAATTGTACTAAGTCAGAATTAATTTAGATTTTAAGAAAATTTAAGATCTTAAGAGGCTAACTTCTGATCAAATTAGCTCAAAATGTTGTACGCACATTACTCAAGTTAAATTTTTTTAAACGTCATTTTTATATGTCCATTGCTTTCTAATATTTCAATTCATTTATGCCTCATAATTCTTGCAAACAATCAAATTTCTGTCAACAATTTCTTCAGTTAAACATCATCCAAACAAAAAAATTGGCTCAAAATTCTTGCAAACAAGCAAATTGATTCGATGAAACCAAAAAGTAATTTTTCAAATCCTGTCTTCCATTTCCCTCTTCCATAAATTAATTGTAGGACTCATAAATTTGGTTTTCCAATAATTATAATAATCTTGTGTATCATGTTTGTTCATAAAGGTTATTTCTTTATGTTCATTGTCTAGAATGCAACTTCATTGTTTATAAAGTAACCGCATTGTAATTCGGACAAATTTGATGCTTCTTTTCAAAAAAAGTAATCAGCAAATACAAAAGATAATGACTCAATAGGAGTAATTTTGTGAGGATTGAACTTTCAGGATATTTCTCCAATTAAGTACATAATGAATCATATGAAATCAAATTTCCCTTCAGATTTCACGTTTCGAAATAATTTTATAATCCTTTTAAAATGAGAAAGGCAGAAAATTTCAAAAACCCAACCAAACCACCTCACCTAGTCATTAAGGCATCCAACAAATTTCCCACAGCCAATGCCAATCCAAGTGGCCAAAAAAAAAAAAAACGAAAACAAAAAAGGCAGATTCCAGGGGACCAATGAGAATTCACAGCCGCAAGTAGATAAAAAGAAGATAATTATTCTCTCCACTCAAAATGCCAATTTCAAAAGGAAGAAAACATAAAATTGTAACTAAAAGGATAACCCAAGAGATGAATAAACAAAAGAAAAGAACTAGCTAATTTACACACATGTTAAGGTTTCCAGCAATCCTCTTTTCGGCTTCTCGCACACATTCTAGTACCACCGGCTTTCCATTGTCATCCCGATAAGCTCCCTAATAACATCAAGCCGGAATCCACTTAAGGTCTTCAAACCCTTGCCAAAAGAGCAATAAACAGAAGAGCACTATGAGGCCAGAGAAGAAAGGAAGATGATTACTCACAACTCCAACATTAACTTTATTGGGGCTGGGATCAGCGAGGAAAGCCTCCGTCACTCCGAGGATCGGATCCTTCGCCGCCGGCTCGACGTGGCCCCACCAAGACGCCGTCGACATAGATCGTCCTAACTCAGCCGCTCGTCGGCCGTTGCCTATAATTCCTCGGCAAATCGACGAAGCCATGAGAAATCTTACAGTCTTCTTCTTCTTCTTCTATGGCGGTTCTTCTTCCAATGAAGAGCTCGGATGGCTGAAGACGGAAGGGAATCGACCTTTTATGTATTAGCCGTCCGGTTGAAGATTGCAACGATCTGATGCTTATTTACAATAATACCCCGTCATTGCAGATAAAGAAGCTTGATCCGAGGAACAATTATTTAGTCCGGTGAACGTACGCTCCTCTACGTTCGGCCACCAATGTTATAACGCCACGTAGCTTGAAGAAAAGTCGCCGACCCGACCCACTGTGTTTTGGGTTTTCGCACGTGTTAAAATTTAAATGGAAAAACGGATTGTTCTGATCCGAGATAGCGACCGCTAAATGGGCTCACTGGATTCGCGGCCGCTTCGCATCAGTTGTGTGTTGTGCCTATCAATTGGAATCGCGTTTGGTTAACGCGTTTGAACCACTTGGGGCTCGCGGGCTAGATAATCGCTTATGAAAGCCGATTCTATTATGGGTTTTAAAAATATGGCAGCTAACGCTTCGTTTGTTTTTTTGGTGCATTTGTAAAAGACAGTTTTAAAAAATAATAGTTTAGAAAAGGAAGTTTTCTAACGGATAAGCATATATAAAAAGTTTTTTCAAAACTGCAGAAATATGAAAAAAAGAAGTTATTGGGAATATGATTCGATGAACCAAACAACACAAAAAAAAATCACCCGTTTTCAAACGTAAAAGGCAAAAAAACGTTCAGACAAGCAAAGCCTAAGTGGGCGAGGATGATTATTACGTGCGGAAATCACACACAAAGAACTGTCTGATTTGTCTATGTGAGCATCAAATGTAATTGACTGTTCACAGAGACAAATTCGAACAATTCTCTGTGTCCGGTCTCCCACTTAATAATCTCTCGTGGGCGAGGGGTGTGAAAATGGAACTTTTATTCGGTCCGGTGAACGTACGCTCCTCTACGTTCGGCCACCAATATTTTAGCGCCACGTAGCATGAAGAAAAGTCGCCGACCCGACCCACTGTTTTTTGGGTTCTCACACGTGCGTTTTTTTAAATCCTTGACGAGCCAATTCGAACCGCTGACGGAGAAATTACGGAGAAACAAGTGAGGCCTATGGCATTTGGGGCAACTTTCTTATTGTTTTCTAAAATAGATTTTTACTAAAATTTTTTGTTAAAAAAATTATTTAAAAAATCAATAAGAAAGCTGTCTCAAACGAATTCTAAATTTTGCTTGGGAAACACTTTTCATAATAAAAATATTATAATATTTGAGTGAAAATATAGCAAAAGTATAATTTTATCTAAAAAATATTAAATTTAAATGTTATTTTATAATATAAAATAATTATCTTATATTTGCTCCATTGATCCCTCCCTCTTCAATTAGCTTCAATTGAATTCTAATTTTTTTCACTCAATTATTTTGTATGATTTCTATTGTGCCCATTTAAATTTAAATTTATTAATTAGAGGTTAAAATAATAAAAATTAAAAGTTGACTATGTTAGAAATTTTAAATCATGGTGTAAACAAATAAAAAAATTTAAAGGAAAAAAAGCATCCAAGAGTTATAACTATTTATCTTAATATTTCTCATATGATTGTAAAGGGCAGAAAATAAGTCATTTTGATTGTTAAGTGCTCACCATTTCATCATGTATTTCAAATAATGAATGGGGCAAAAATATTTTTAAAAGATGTATATTTTAGTTATTTAAAAATATCATAAATATTTATGATATATAAAGATGTCTTAAATTTTTGAAGGAGATATGTGCCCCCCGTGCTATTCTTAAACCGAGGAGAATTAGGCGTTGAATATTATATGTTTTAATATTATTGTATTTCATCTTTGGATAATTTATATAAAAAATTTATGGAAAATAGAATAAATTATAAATTAACCCAGCATAAACTGGTGATTGCCTCAAGGCTCATTCCTGTGGCATTTAGGCATCTCCAATCGAACGATATTCTCCGGTTTGTAGTAGCCGTCTATTCAAATGAATGACAAATTGAACGTCATTTTCGCATTTTGAGTAGTCTGACGTTAGTATTGGCGTCACACTACTCACATCGGAGAGAAAAAAAAAAGAAGTTTTGATGCAGGACTAAGCGAAATAAGTCATGCAAATAGAGATTGATGTAGATTGGATCGATGGAAGAAGAGGATGCTTGAAGGAAGATAATCCCAATCCAGGGAACAAGAGTAACACAAGCTTCAAAGCTTCATAAAAGAGATAATATTCATCATGCTCTATTCCTCTTTTACAATCTATATATAAAAAGCAAGTAGAAACCTAGAGAAACCTAGATGATTCTAGAAAATATGCAACAACTTGTAACAAACTAAATTAGATAGTCTAAGGAACATTTTAAGCTAACATGCTTCGCATCATTCTCCCCTTGCATCAAAAGAGCTCGACTCCGTCGAGGCGTGTCATCTAGAAGGAGATAGGTGTAATACTCATGAGTAATCCTCCAGGATCAAAGATTTTACCGCTTTGATATATATCCACAAACTTGTTTGGATGAGTAAAAGCTAGAAGCAAGCTACTAATGGTAAACCAATCATGTCGGAGACTTGAAAAAGTCATATGTAGGAATTGTTGAACTACAGTCAAGTCACTGTAAGTAAAGCCTTCCTTAGGACTTGGGCATATGCTAGTTTCTTCAGAAGAAAGTTGCCAATCAAAAACACATTAATTGAAAAGAATGGCTCTATAGTCATCCCATTCAAGAATCTCATTATGGATCCTTCTTTTGATGCACTCATGCTCAATCAGGAACAGTTCTAATGCTTGAGGGCATTGAGTGAGGAAGTAAACAACGAACAACCTTATTTTAGTTGTAGTTTTATTCCCAGCAAAGAGCAAGTTTATGATGAAATCAACAATTTGATTATCATTCAAGTTCTCTTCCTCCACCAGCCTACCAAGAACTCCGCTTCGTTCTATAGATCCACCCCGCTGATGCCCATTAGCTATCATATTCTTGATTTTTGCAATGATGCCTTTCCTTTCCTTCACAGCAGTGTGATAGATAAATCTTGGCAAATTAATTGGGACATATAAGCAACCATCTCCAAAACATGCTATCTCTTTGATTTTAGACTCAGATGACACTCCCATCAGTTGATTAACCATCAAATTGATTGCCACCTTTTTGCTGCAAACATCCTGAAGCACAACAACCTCCTTATCAAGAAGATAGTTGATTGTTTGAAACAATATAATTTGCACATCACTTGAGTTGGAACTAATCTTCTCAAGCTTCGTTATATTAACCACAATTGCATGAAGTCTCTTCTGCTGCTCACCATGAACTACAATCACCCCATTCTTCTCAACCAGATCTCTAAAAGACTTTGGATAGCTAGATTGAAATAGCTTTCCTTCATTTTGCATTATATACTGGTTGAATATTGAAAGATCAAGAAACTAGAGACCCGTGAACCGCCTATGCTGAAGATCGATAGCTTGTTGAAACTCCCTCTATTCTTCAAGCTTTCTACGAAGAAGAATATTCTGGTTGTCGTTTGAATAAAACTTTCTTGCCACAAATGGCTGAAGGTTAAAGGGATCTCTAGAATCCAGCCCTGTTGGAGTCTCACAACCAGAAAAATCTCCCTTATCACCATGCTGCTTCATATCTAGGCCTTTTCCCTTCTCTTTATAGGGTTTGACAAGAACTCCAGCATCACAGACGAAGTGAGCATTGCCCTTTGCAAGGATCAGTTTATCGGCAGTGAGGAACAATTTCACGATCTCAGGGTAAAGGAAGGTGACAAACCCAAATATTCTCTTCCACAGATATGGGATCCTTAATTCTTGCACTGGTCCGTAAATGCTCCGAATTTGAACTGGGATAAGAGTTTATTCTGATGAATCTTTGTTCACTCCCTTAACCACTTTCTCAACAATGGTGGCATGTAAGCGTTGATCTAAGAGATCATACATATTTCCTTCAAGGAAACTAACAATGTTATAATGTGAGCCGATTGACGTTAGGTAAGAGCAGATCCGAGAGGGCAGGGGCTCAGTGGAATTTGGATAAGCAGGATTTTTACTGTTGTCTGCAGAGCCAATGACGCTGGTGATGTTGCTACAGTGAATATTCTGACTTTGAAGGTCTTCTGAGCTCTCGAAGCTTGGACTTGAGTATAGGGAAGGAGGATTCGGAGAAGCATAATTCTTATCGTCGCTGATTTGGTGCAAGGGCTTCTCCTTGGCTTCGAGTGAGGGTTCGGCCATGGGATTGCGGGAGTTGCGCGGGAATGGGAGTGGGAGCAGAGGCGCGGCCCTGATGGACGCTGGAGTGGGTTTGGGTTCATAGGAGCTAAGTGGGAGTGAATAATGGTCATGCGGAGTGGCAGCGGCGGTTGTTTCGTCGGGTAGGGAATCGCGAGATAGTATTGGGACCTGGAGCGAAGGTGGAGGCGTGGGTTCTGAAGGCGGATCTGATCGGGACATGGTGAATTGTTTTTCTTCCATGAAATCGAAATCAGCGACCGAAGGATCGCATTGGAGCTGCGTTGGTTGTGCGTGCGTGTTGGAGGAACAGAGGAGCGACGAGGCCGGTATGGTTGCCGACCTGCTCATGGTTCTCTCCACTGAATGCATGAATTTAACACATAAAGCATCCATTCGATCAAGTGATGCAATCACTTGAGCTACCCAAAGGGGTTCATGGCGTCGATCGTCATCAACCGCCATTCTTCTTCGGCGTCGAACGTCGTCGGCCGCCCATCTTCTTCGGCGTCGATCTTCGTCGGCCGCCCATCTTCTTTGGCTTCGATCATCGTCGACAGCCCACCTTCTTCTGCAATCCATCATTCTTCGCAAGCTCCGGGCTCTGATACCAAACTGATGTAGATTGGATCGATGGAAGAAGAGGATGCTTGAAGGAAGATAATCCCAATCCAGGGAACAAGAGTAACACAAGCTTCAAAGCTTCATAAAAGAGATAATATTCATCATGCTCTATTCCTCTTTTACAATCTATATATAAAAAGCAAGTAGAAACCTAGAGAAACCTAGATGATTCTAGAAAATATGCAACAACTTGTAACAAACTAAATTAGATAGTCTAAGGAACATTTTAAGCTAACATGCTCCGCATCAGAGATTTATGCTAAGATAACATAAAATAAAATAAAATTTACTCAATAAAACATTAAGAATAATAAGAAAATTTGAACTATTAGATCATGTGATAGCATGAAACTAATAAGTAAAGGCTAAATAATAATCAAAGGTGAATCAGTTTAGACTATCTAACATGGGTTGACATAAGTCCAACATTTAATTAAGGGACTAGTCACTAGAGTTTCTGTTATCTCAAATTTAAGTAGAACTTGGTGGATTAATCAACACATATGATATGTTGCTACTATAAATAAAATGAGAAGATCAATATTTAATTAGATGAAGAACAAGGGGAGGGTTTGATACTTAGTTCATGAATGGGAATAATGGAATCCTTGATGAAATGACTGCTAGTTCCTCCTTGGCTTGCTCTTGAAATTCTTGCTCTTTGTTGAATTAATGTCCTTGTTGCATTAGTAGAAGCTATGTTTCATTGGAGAGGTCGAATAGTGAGGATTAAAAAGAAAGTTTTAGCTAGATGAGGGTTTGGAAGTGAAGAGGTTCACGATTTTGGAGTTTGGAGGGGAAAGCTAGGCCGACTACATGGGAAGGAGGATGGGAGAGATGATTTGGTCGATTTTAGTGGCTTGGAAAGGGAGAAGTCAGCTCATGAAGTAAAGAGGTGGGGTTGATTGCTTGGGGAAGAGAAATGACTGATGCGGCTTGCTTGGGAAGGAGAAAAGTTAAAATGATTGTGGATCTCCAAATGCCATAATTATTTGAGATAAATCTTCAATTAATGTGAATTAATTGCAAAATTGGGAAGCATAAAGGTCAATGATTTTTGGGAGAAGGTGGAGGTGGTTAGAGAGGAAGGGAGGGAGATGGCTGGTGGTTAAGGGCGGCAGCAAGCTACTGTAGTGGTGCTAGGCTGTTTTGGTGGCTAGAGAAAGAAAAAAAGAGATGAGAGGGAAAAGAATATCAACCAAGAGATCACATGTTATTAGGTGCTTCTTTGCCTTTCTCTAAAGGACTTCACACACAAATTCAACTCATATATAAAAGATGAAGCATATAATCATAAATTTATATTAAAGTATTTATTATCCATACAAGATAACAATGAGTCATATATATATCTTCAAAACATGAAAGGAATAAAAGACAAGAAGGTCCTTGACCAAACAACATAAAAGCTCCCTCAAATGATGTTAAAACTTAAAACTATAATAAAATAAATAACACCACATAAATTTCCTACAAAACATAAAAATTAAAAATATAAAGACTCAATCAAAGATGTAGATCTCTACGCTGACAATGAAGTTTTTATTTGGTTCGGTCGACCGAATGATAGAAATATTCGGTCGCAGGCAAAAATTCTACGGCAGCGAGGTGTACCGAGGTTTTTCGGTCGGAGGACATAATAATTGTTTGTGACAATGACATTCGATACCCTGTCCAAAATCCGGTTCACTAAAATTCTAAGCAAACCGAGTAGGATATTTGCCACGTGGTCCACAACTAAGAACCGACGGCTCGATCCTGTCGGACATCGAGCAAGAACCGTTCTACGAGATAATCACGAAATTCTGATCCCCTGCTGTGCCCCAAAACCTTCGCCATTTCCCGGCCACCGCTACTGGTCGCCGCCGATCAGAAATTTTGGTGTTTCTTTTCGTCTCCAGCAAAGGTAAAAGGTCTCCGGGATAAGCCGTTTGTCCTGATTCATTAAATTAGTGAAAGCTCCAGGCTTTCATCTCGTCCATGATACCCCCTGCTTCAGGTAATTTCGCTCGGCCAATCTTATCTTCATTTATTTTGTGTTTATTTCATTTTGGATTTTTTATGATTTTATCTTGAACTTCGATGAAAGGTTAGTATTTCCTGTGAAAGTTGTCATATTGTATGGTGCAAACGAAACTTGGGAAGTAAATTTGAGCTACCAACTCTGAACTTATGGGTAATAATTAGGAATTTTGAAGGTAGAGATGGATTGGTCAGATGCTGCAAATCCCTTAGCTTGTTTAAATATAAATTGCAAAGGAATGAAGGGCCGCTTGGTTCTTTGTCATATCAACATTATGTCATCCTACCAAGATATGCCATCTATTGGTTTACTGATGTATATAAATAATTGTAATGTCTTAATTCAGTGCTTCTAGATGTAGATTTGTCCAACATCTGGGATGTTTAGATATCTTAATATTTCACTACTTGTAATACTGAAAATATTGACATATTTAAATACAATTACACTAAGATAAAACATACAATATTTGATGGATAACGCTGGCATAATAATACTAGCATCTAAGTAACAATGAACCAAAAACCCCTTCACTTTGTTTTTGGTGATGTTTAGATGGAAGCGGAGGCGGAACCAACCTTAATTTTCAGGGGGGCAAACTTATAAGTAAAAGTATAGATATTTTTTTTTTCATAAGTAGCCTTAAAACTAAAATTTTTTATGGGGGCGCTATCCCTCAACTCCTATTGGTTCATATCCTTGATCGTTGTACGCTTCACATATATATATCGGGGGTCTAAGGGAGCAGCGCCCCTTGGCGGGGTTCGACCTGCCCGGTTAGGTCGCGGGCTTCTGCAGGGATTTCTGGGGGCAGCGCCCGCCCTCGAAATAAATTTTGGTTGTAAGGATTTTTTGGATTCTCTTTACTATTTCTATTTGTATTTGGTTCATCATTCCTTAACAATAACACATCTACAAAATGTGTTTAATTATGCTGGGATAATTGCCTAAATACCATAGTATTTGAAAACTTTTTTTTTTGGGGGGGAGGGGGGGGATTGCCTAATAACCCTTGTAATAAAGACTAGAAAAAATAGATGGAGGGGGACAAATTACCTAAAGAATCATATAATAAAGAATTTTTTTTTATTATTTTAGGGGGGCAATTGGCCCCTCGAGCTTAAGGTGGATCCGCCCCTGGATGGAAGGGAGTAACATATAGGCAAGGGATCTCAATGTTGTCCAAGCTTGTGTGTTCTTTGTCCCCCTCTTAACCTCTTGGATTGCTATGTCAAAGAACAATCCCCTTCCCTTTTTTTTCCTTCTGTAATTTACTAAGACAAAAGTGTTGTGAATAGTCCCACATTGGGTATGAATTGGGTTCTTTGAAATTCTAATGATAGCCTTAACACATTAAGTTTAACTATTTAGTTCATAGATGTCCATCCAATAGTATATTCGGTGCATTTTTCACCCTCCCTTTTAACGAGTCTAACGCTAATGGTTTAGCAATGTTAGAATGGTTCATTAGATTTTTTTTTTAATTTTCATGAGTCTTGAAATTTTCTATTATGGTTGAGCGAGATTTAATAGATGATTAGTCTTGACGCATGACACTTTGTGTAGAAAAAGTTTTTCTTTTAGATGGAGATCGAGTACTAGCCAATGCGGAGAAATTCATGTACGAGATTGTTAAGATTTCTATAAAAATAGAAAATAATACTACTTCCAATATGAAACAAGAGTTGTCTTCTTAATATTCTAGTAGTGGCCTTTATCCTTTTTTGAGCTTTTGGATTCATAAATGTCAATGTAGTAGCATGTTGGTCACAAACTGACCCTCGATTTGCATTTAATAGCATCATCGTGCCTTATATTTGTGTTGGCGCAATGCTTGTATGAGGCATTGCGACTTTTATCTAGCTCATTGTTTGTTTTACCTCTTGCTGATCGCCTATGTGAATTGTGTAGATAGTTATGCCAAAAGAATAAAACTCCTTTAAATAATCTCTCTACATCAAATTTGAAATCAATTTTGCTTTGTCTCAAATAAGATTCACTCAACATGAAGTTGATTCAACTCAAAATTGACTTGATATGTATGCCGATATACACTTATGTTTGTTTATTCACATGCACATATACTTATACATTTGTATATAAATACAATACATTTCAATTATTACTAATAACATGCCTGAATATTCCTTATAATTATCAATATAATTGCTTGTTTGCTTTCTCTTTTGTGCTTCGCACTGGCTAAATCATTCCTAGCTATCCTCCTCGGAAGGTCTCCTGTACTGAAAACATTTATTGATTTCACACTTCCTGCAAAAAATTATCTAAATTATAAAGGTAATGTGTAGAGACCGGTCAACCATAAGGAGTAGTCTTAGGCTTCGTATGGGACGGCTTTCTTACTGCTTTTTAAAACAGCTTTTTAGTACAAAAATTAAAAAAATATGTACTAAAAAGCAGCTTTAAGAAACAGTAAAAAAGCCATCCCAAATAAAACCTTCGTGTAGGTGCTAATTGACTCCACAGATGACCTCAATCCAAATTATATCAATCTGGATATAACACCGATTTCTTTTCATGCAATAACAATGAACCAAACAACAATTTGTTTCTAGCACTAACATCTAGAGAACATTAAACCGAACAACTCTGAATAATTTCTTTTGCTGTTTCCAATGCTGGAATGTTTTAGGATTTCATCAAGGACATGAGTTATTGTATTGTAGAATGGAGAATGCTGCAGAAAAGACAGTCCAAGATAGTGATAGAGATGATGCTAGCCATCCAAGTGATGGGGAAGTGGGAGCTTTCTCTTCTAACACATCTGGAGAAGTGGATAGCTGTAATTTAGAGCTATCTGAAGTTTTATCTCCTGAGCAGGCTAAGAAAGAACTGATGGGTCAGGTTGTTCAAAATGAAAAGGAGGCCTACAGGCTATATCGTGATTATGGGAGGAATATGGGATTCAATGTCCGTAAAGGAAAACAATATTATTACACAGGATCAAGAAACATCCGAAAGAAGTATTACTATTGTTCAAAGGAAGGGGCAAAGATCGACAAACTTAGCAGCAAGTCGAAGTTTCATAGAAAGGATGTTAGAACAGGATGCAAAGCATTTGTGCAATTTACAGTTGATGAGAAGGGGCAATGGAAGGTGACTAAGATGGGTGTTGAGCATAACCATGACTTGGTTAAGCCTAAAGAAAGGCATGTGTTGAAACCTATAAGTTCATCTAAAAGTGCAGAGGCTTCCCTACCATATTCAACCATGGATGTTGAAATTCATACATTGAATGCAGATTCCGGTGGTGACACTGAAAATGGTGATAGTTTTGTCAACTTGCAGCAAATGGCACAGATCAATGTGGAAGAAACTAGAAGCTTAATTAGTTATTTTAAACGCAAGGCTGGAGAGGAAGGCATGTTTTACTGGGATGTGCAGGTTGATCATGAAGGTAGAATGACTAACATCTTCTGGAGGGATGGTAGGTCGAGAATCGACTATGACTGTTTCTGTGACGTCGTGTCTTTCGATAGCACTTCTCACATAAAAAAATATGGCTTTACATGTGTACCATTAATAGGGGTTAATCATCATTGGCAGAATGTTATGTTTGGATGTGCTTTCTTATTAGATGAAACAGAAGCTTCTTTTGTTTGGCTTTTGAAGACATTTTTGGAATCAATGGGAAATCGACCACCCAGAACTATTCTCACTAATGATGATGTAGCATTAGAAAGGGCTATAGAGCTGGTTCTTCCCTCTACTAGACATCGCCTTTGTCTATGGCACATTTTGAAAAAAGCTTCTTCTTGTTTTGGTAGCCTTAATTCAAGCAAAAGGCTCCTAGACTCGTTTGATAAATGTTTGCAAGGATGTGACTCAGAGATGGAATTTGAAGAAACTTGGAGAAAGATGGTCCTTGATTACGGTGTCGAAGATCATGAATGGCTTAACAACTTGTATAAGAACCGGCAAAAGTGGTGCTCAGTTCTTAGCAAAGATTGTTTTGATGGTGGTATTGAGTCACCGCGGCGCTCTGAGAGCTTTGAAAATGTTTTGAATAGCATAGTTGACAGATCAATCTCACTTGGCGAGTTTACCCATGAATTCGAGAAACTGCTCGAAGATTGGCGTCAAAATGAAGAGAAAGAGGACCTTGCTTGCCGGCAAGATGGACCTCGACGTGCAATTGAGCATAGTGATATCTTGAACCATGCAGCTAAACTGTACACACATAAGATGTATAAGATATTTGAGGAAGAATTTCTTGATGGATGTTGTGCAGCATCTTTTAGAGAGATTCATTGTGGCGGTGATTTGTATAAATTTGAGCTGACAATGCAGGGAAGAGATTCCAAGGTGTGGATTGTCCACCTTGACATATCTAAAATGGAGCTCTGTTGTACATGTAACAAATTCAACACCATGGGGATACTCTGTTCCCATGCTTTGAAAGCTCTGAGTCTAAAAAATGTAAATAGAATTCCAGAGAACTATATTATTAAAAGGTGGACTAAAGATGCTAGAAAAGGAGTTTATAGGCTTGAAGGAAGCTGGCAACTGTTGGGGGAAGATCTTGAAGATGAATTTAAATATCACAACCTCGCAATTCGCTATGCATATGACCTTGTAATGAGAAGCCAAGGTCATAAACAGGCCAGAAAAATCATATGGGATTCATTTTTGCGAGGCGAAAGGCAACTCGATTCCTTTTTCGAGAAGAAATGTTTGGATGAAAATTCTGGTAATCGAGATAACTCAGATGAATCTGAGTGTGAAGAAGCTGGTGAGAAAAGTCTAAGAACATCATCGCTTAGGAAATCAAATTCAAGCAAGTGACTTTTCTTTTTAAACTTGGATTTTTATGTATTTTCAATGGGCTTTAAATCCAGATTTTTTACATTTTATTTTTCATAACTCAGGAAAAACAAAGAAGAAGCGATCTGTTGATCTATATCGAGGTGATGAGTTTGGTGAACCTAATTGCAGCGCATTTCCTCCCCTATGTAATTCAACATCTGGGACTCAGCTGGGATTTTTCCCTTCCCTCTCACCGGGTTGTTTCTCTCCTCCAATGTATACCCCCCTATCACAAATGCCAACGCAGGTAATATGTTTATCGAAGTGTTACACGAAGCTCTACCCTTATAATTTGTTTGTTTCACTAACATAATATCATATTATAAGAAGGTGTCAATTTTTTAGTTTGTTGACATCTTTAAATAACAATTTAATGTCAGCTAAGAAGCTATATATTGACTGAATAAATGCAGCAGGAAAGAAAGATTAAAATCACCCTTAATTTATAGATAACATTGAGCCAAATATTACCAGCTAAATATCATTATTATCTACATAATAGTATTGTAGATAATATTGAACTAAATGAACTCTTAGGCTTGGTTTTGGACGGCTTTCTTACTGCTTCTTAAAGCAGCTTTCTAGTACAAAGATTTTAGAATAGAAATTTTAATTAATGTACTAAAAAGTTACTTTAAAAAATAGTAAGAAATCCATACCCAACAAAGTCTTAGGCTTCGTTTGGGACGGCTTTCTTCCTGCTTCTTAAAGCGGCTTTCTAGTTCAAAGATTTTAGAATAGAAATTTTAATTTATGTACTAAAAAGTTACTTTAAAAAATAGTAAGAAATCCATCCCCAACAAAGTCTTAGGCTTCGTTTGGGACGGCTTTCTTCCTGCTTCTTAAAGCGGCTTTCTAGTTCAAAAATTTTTGAACTAGAAAGCCGCTTTAAGAAGCAGGAAGAAAGCCGTCCCAAACGAAGCCTTAGTTTGATCGCTTAACTGATGTTTGATATTGTAACAGATTTCAAACATTAATTGGGTCCTTGGATCCCCTCCCTCTTATGCATCAAATGCGCAAGGAAACCAAAACGCTGCTCAAAATCTGCATCTATGATATCCTTTCATTACCAGCTGGTTCTGCTTCTGAGCCAGTCTTCTCTTGCATTTGTAAGATCTATATTTTATAAAGGCAAAGATAAAAATCGGCACCAGTATATACTAATATGACTACTCTCAATTTTAGATTGGGTAAGAACTAGAGATGGTTTACTTTTTCTTGGGATAAGTGTACAAGTAAATATATTATTTTATGTAGTTGAATAGTTGTAAAGTGAATAATATATTATTTTAGTTATGGGATGTTTTTGTATGGTAAATAACAAATAATTTAGGTACATATCCGGATGTTCTAAGTTCATGTTGCGCCATGGAGGTACAGTTACCAATTATCAAGGCCATAATCGGTAGCGAATGTTAAAGGCAGCCAGTCAGAGAGACAACATTGACATTGTAGTGCCAACTTCTTCATTGGACAGCTCGTGATACACGCAACATACGTCTAGCCTTCTAAATTGCCATTGTTCTCTAGGGCTTCCGAGCATGCATTGGTGCACAACATTCTATTTTAATTGGGGTCACTCCGGGAATAAATTAAATATCCCTATGGCGGAAAAGATTTTACTGGCGAAAATGTGATGGAGAAAGAGGTAATGTAATAACCAACCTATGAGAAATTTGGTTGTGATTGTGAGAAATCCATAGCAGTCAGAATCACAAGAAAGGGCTTTAAGAAGACCATGCTAATTTACAAATGGAACTTACCAAATTTGCGAAAAGGAGTAGTGAAGTTATTACTTAAAAGATCATGTCAACAATTGATTTCATCACATGGCGCTTCTTGATGAATTTGCATAATTGACAAAAAGCATCAGAATTAATTAAAATGAGACTATAAGTGCATTAATAAGTTTCACAACACATCACTTGATCTGATTTTAAAGGAACTAAAGAGAAGAAAGAAGACTTGCAGAATTGAGAATGATGTTTTTAAAAACACACGAAGCTTGAGGATTAAAAATGACTTAGATACACTTAAGGGAAATTGGAAAAGCTCCCAACTTTGAATCCAAAGCCAAAACCTATGAACGAAGGCATTTATAAGCTCAAGATCCATTTTAAGTAAATCCTTTTCGCTAGAGTTTGATGATTTTCTTGTGGCATCTGCGGACACATCTCGACACACTTGCGATTGTTACCAATAGTACACATTGGATGTGGAGACCTAAGGTGCATGATTCACAGCATACCAATACTAACATTGCAATTCTACTGATTTTTCTAAGAAGGGGAACCATATTAGGTTGGGTTTCTAAATCTGACTGTTGTTGAGGTTTTGCGAAGGTGTGCTCTCACTCAAAGACCTCATGGAGCATGATTAATTGGACCATGGTAGGCTCGCAGCTCAAAATTGCTTAAAACTTTGCTGCTTTATAATGTTCTTAGAAATTTTTTTTATTAGTTTTGTGTATTTTTTATTGTGTGCTTGCTTTGTGTTTGTTCTAAGATTCGTTGCTTTCATCGTTTGGTTTCCTATACATGATTATTTTTTTTATAAGCTTTTAAATTTTTGTGAGTTTTGAGATTAGTTTATCATTCTAAATCGGTTAAGCGTGAGAAAATCGCTTGATTGATTTCCCGTCCTTCCTGAACTTGTTTTAGTGGTAATATATTTATTCTCTAAACAAAAGGCTAACCATCAATTTTTAGCCAATGGTTTTTGAAGACTAAGAATTCTTTTCATCTTGATACAACAAATAATCTACTGTGGTACATTAATGTCCCAAAGTTCTTGATATATCGCTCAAGTTATTTGAGATCTTGCCTTTTCACTGATCCATAAATGTTTTTAGTTCTATTTTGTGTAGTTCTTCCCATATGTTAGAGAGAGTGCTAACTTATTGCTTCTAATGATCGTAGAAGATATAGCTCACAGACTTAGAAATTCTTTTAGAGTTGTAAAAGAGATTGACGCTTGCAAAGATAAAAAAAGGAAAAGTGGCAAAATGATTGGCCAAATTGAGAATTAAGAAAGTATTACATCAAGTGTATCAAAATCAAAGATGCTCAAAGAGCCAATCGAAAGATTTTAAAGAAGGCGAGATAAAATGAGCCCACAAAAGGCAAGCTAATCCCCCTTTTCAAAAATTTTAAAATCTTAGAAGAACTGATGAGTTATGTTAGATTTTCAAAGGCTTGATTATCAAATCCATGTTGAGAAAATATACTTTACATATTATATGGATATTTCTTTTTAAACAAGTTTGATGATGGATCTTCTTTTTTTATCCTATTTAGTTATTCTGAGTAGGTCTTATTTTCAAAGATAATTATATATCCGCTGAATGATGTCCGATCTAGGGTTAATACAAGTCGGAATTCTCCTCTTTCCGATTGAAATTTGTTATAACCCATTGATTTCTTGAAACTCAGAAAGTTACATTATTTAAGAAATACTCATATGAATTGTCTTTGATAAAGAAAGAAAATTTTGCTTCTATTTCAAAGTATTGTTGTTCATTTTTTTCTTTTCTATTTATTTTTTTTGAAGGGCTTTTGATCATCACGCATCCTATCATTATTTTTCAAAAATTCTAGTCACATCGCCTTTGCCGATACTTTTATCATCCTGGACGATATGACAGATTCTCTTATTTTCAATTTTCCATCTGCTGACTTTTCCCTTCTGTGCTTACTATCAACTCTCGTCCCTGATGATACTTAGTCGTCCTGGACGATACTTTATGCTGCCTGGAAGATCTGATCGAACACTGTCAAGATCATGATGAAAGTCCTAGGCTGATAACTATTTTCGTCCTGGGCGATGCTTTATATGGTAATCATCCGCGTGATACACTAGATCGTCTGGATCGATCCAACGTGTCAGCACGTTAAATCGATTAAAATTGGCCAATAGACGTATCGATTATTTGGTCAATCCGTTCCTGGCCGAATCCACTGTCCATCCTGGACGATACAACGTGGGCACAGATTTAAAACATTTTAAAGCTTTAGCGTATGACTTAAATTATTGTGGCATCATCTACGAGATACACCTAATCGGTCCGGACAACTGTTTTTTCAATGGTCCGTGCTGGATGACTCTCGGGGACGGGATCGCCTGTGTCTATAGTCCTGAACCGATATCTGATCGTTCCCGGCTCGAGATCATTACGCCTTTTTGACCAATCGGACCTGCAACGCAATATTGTACCATATCATCCTGGATGATTTCCTCTGCGATCGCCTAGACGATATGCGCCGTTTCTTTAAATTCTGGCTCGTCCACAGTCATTTGATTTCACTTCACATTCTCTCGCTGCTTGTGTTTTTGCTTGCTAACCTCCTTTCTATGGCACGGTGGAAAACGTGTTCGATTACAACTTCTTTGGATGTTCTTTCGATGGGCTTAGATTTGGACCATCTCAGTCTTCAGGGAGGCAGAAGATGAAGCTACTTACCATCGATACTAAATAGATGTGGGATACACTGTCTCCAGAATCATTCAATCCGCCCACATTTCGTATCCGATAATGGATCTTTTTCGGCTCACGGACCTCCCTTTGTTTTCATTCTATCTCTTTTGCTTTTCCCTTTAATACCGGAGCTTCTTAGAATTCTTCGCAAACCTTCCGCATAATCCTACTTATCATAGCCCTGACCTTCTATGTTGAATCGACACCCCCCAGTCCCGTCGTAAATCACATATCAGGACTGTGTTGAAGGTTTTTTACCAAAAGCCCTATCCCCACCACTGGGATAAGCTGCAACCTAAATTGCTTCAGAGTCCTGAACTTGACTGGTCCATCGACGAATCACCACTTTCTCCGCTAGACTAATGCACCTTTTCATGTTGGATGGAGACTAAGCTTCTTAGTCAAAGATGCTAGGACAATCCCAACATGTCCTTCGACCTCCATAAATTCCAAAAGTCGGGGACCGTCATCCATATCACCACTCTTCTTTCGCCCTGATATGCACTTACTTTCTACATCAATGGAAGCATTAGAGAATTTAATACTGCGCGGACTTAATTTTTGGGTATATGACACTTAACCACAATCCGCCGATCGCCAGGTCATAAGAGAAAACCCATCTACGCTGTTAGGACACGCTCATAGCCTATTCCCTTGAAACCAAAACCAACTTCAGATCCTATTCCACCTAACCTCACCAATCTCCTACTCAACAGTTCCTTCAGTACCCTTCACAGTAATCGCCCCCCTAGGGATGAGGAACCTCGGGGGTGTCTGGGGAAGGAGAGGCCTGCCCTCATCGTTCCTATGATCCTGTTCCTCTCCACCGCACTCACCATTGATG